ATTGTAATGGGAAGATGCTGTTTCATTACCTTTCTTCCTCTGTAGTTAGGAATCTTGATGTGAACTGTATGAGATAATGAAATGGCTTATGGAGACAGAGTTTTGAGTAAGGATAAAAAAATTTAACTTCTGTATTCTGATGTTTAATATTGTTAGTAATCTCAGTTTTGTCATTTTAGAACTAGATCATAAGTAAATCTGAGAATGAAAGCCAGATGGTCACTGGGGAAACAAATAAATCCTTATGGCATTTTTCTTCATGATACAAGTTTTGTTCCAATGACTACATAGGGCAAGAATGAATCAAACAGTAACTTCATCAATAGAATCTAGACAGACATAGTCCTACTACTTACTTTAAAAAAACTCCAACAAAACAGTTACTCGATTTCTTCGTCTAGCACAAGGCTTCAATGTACTGGTTTCTCCCAAGCTGCCTCTCCTACACAGGCTATCTGTAGACGTTTGTCTCTGCCTTAATCCTTCCCCAAACCCTATTACTATATAAAACAATTCCTTTTTTTTCCAGTTAAAATGCACCCTTTCTGTACCATAGTTGTCTGGCTTCAGAGCTGCTGTGGTTATAGCTATGGTCCTGACAGAGGGAAATCATGTTACATGACTTGTTACATTTGGTAGAGTATTGTCTATTTTTGAAAAACACATGTAAGCAGATGAGTTGAGTGAACTCCTTCTTTACATTCCTTAAGCAAAGACTCATTCCAGCCTGTTGGAGCAACTTACTTCCTTTGCTGTAAAGAAGATGCTGTTTTTAATCTGAATTCATAAGTGTTGCTTCTATAGTGCACTAAATATTTTGTAGGGATATAAACCCCTCTGTTTTCTATGAAGAAATAGCAAAGTATTACTTAAATAAAAATAATTATTAAATAAATTGATATATAAATGTACATATATGGATATATAAACAATAAAGAGAAAAATATTGAGGACCATTGCAGGAATGGTAACATTTTATTTTACAGTATGGATGTCCTTGACATAATTACTAGTGTGAAGGCCTCATGTACTTAGTATCATACAACACTCCTTCAAACTTGGAAGTATTCAGAAGTGTCAGCAGCTTGTGCTCTTTCTGGAGAAGAAATGTGATTTTGACAAGTACCTGAATAGAACAAAGCCATGAACTCCTGTGTCTTTTCTGTCGGCAGTAGAAAGGCTAGTGCTGCTGAAATACAGACCTATTTCCTGTCATATCTCAATTTTCAGTTAAGTGAAATTCATCATCTGGAAGAGCTTTGAGCTGCTGTGCTTTAAGGAGCTACAGAATGAATTTTACTGTAAGTCATAGAGCATCCTACTCCATTGGTATTCTAAGTGTTCATCTCTGTGAGCCTGAGGTATGAAAATATAAAATTAAATAAATGTATCTTTTCAATAATAATCTCCTGTTAGACCTGTTGGTCTACCATACTGTTCAGTTTTCAACTCTTTTTCCATATGGCTCAGAGACCACCCATGGGCTTGGGGAATACTTTCAGCAGGTCATTGCTGAAACTGTCACATGAAATCAACATAAAAGATACCAGAAAAAAACCCTGTAAAAATCAAAGCCAAATGATACTGTTAAACTGCAGCAATGTCTGATTGCAAGTTGGGGGAGAAAGGTTGAAAAGAATGGAAAATATTGATTATTGTAATAGTCCCAGTTACACTGGTGGGCCTCACTGAACTACATGACTTTATGCTGGTAAAAGTTGGCTGTAGGATTTATATGATGTTTATGCAATTCCAGTAATTAGGAAAAGAAGGTTTTGCATTAAATGGGTTTTCTTTCAGTCCTACTTATGTGTTTATTCTTTTCCATCGCATATAATACTTTTGTAGAATCAACTGTCATGAATTTAAAATACAGTCCGCACATATAAAAGCAAAAAATGAGGTCGTGAAAAGAACTGGATAATAAAAGTTCCCATATCTTCAATAGTCCTCAAACACTTGTAAAAAATTTGTTTTGTAACCTACCCTGAAATGTGATGGAAATTAATGCTTACGAGTCCCATGTGAAAATGTAAAATATCACAATTTAAAGCTTCACGTACAGATTGATAGATAACATGTATCTCAAACACATCTACTGTGTCCCACCAGGACTATTCCAAGCTGATGCCCTCTGCGTTCCAGTGAAAAGAATAATTATCCTGGTCAATGCTGTTCTTTAACTGTCGTAAAGCAAACGTGATTTGTTTAGTTACTAACCTAAAGTGATTATTGCTCAGAAGCTAAGATGCTTAGAAGTAAAAGCAATCAATACCATGAAATATTTCCTTTCATTCTGCTGTATTTAGACTGGTCTAAGCTTATATATATAACAGGGTTTAAAATCTGTTCATTTTTGTCTTGTTCATAGAAAATGGGACTGACAATTAAGAAGAAGAAAGATAATACAGCTGATCCAAAAAAATTACTATTTGTCTTGTATATAGTAGCAGTCTTAGAACTCAGAACATATTTTTAACAGGAGATGTCCTCTGCATCATTTCTTTCCCTCCCAGTCCCTAACATCCTCTTTGACTTCTCTTTTCAAAATGACCCCATGTATGTAGAACACAGCTCATCTGTATTTTGTGGATGAAGGGTCATTTTGTAATTACATCAATCCATTGCCAGGAGGTTTAATGAAGTTAAAACATTTAGTCTTTAAACCCTCTCTGCAAAGGCAATGTAATCAGTCAGACCTTATTTCACATCTTTCCTCTTTGATGATACAGATTTAATCTAGAGTTATTACACTTGCTAGTTTGTAAAACTAAGAATTCCCCTGCTACAGATCTGTGACTCTTTGTGATGTTCTTACCCCCTTGTTTCCAGACTTGCTGCTGTACTAAGAACAGACATCCTGCTGTTCAACTGGAGCCTTAGCATTGTGTATTTGAAGATAATCCCCAGACCACCAGCGTCTTTTTGGCATCTGTGAACATAAGGGTTATGACAGTTGCCCCTTCTGAGTGTAATCTTTGGTTTTACAAGAATTCTACTGAAAGATTTTCAAGCTGTGATTATCTTTTCCTTCTTTGTGTGGTATTGCTAAGGAAAAAATTAGAAGTTTTAAAAGCAATACATTCTGCTGTGTTTTAAGACCTTTAATTTGCAACTAAATTATGTACTTAGCTTTACACACTTGACTTCTTCAGACTATTTAACAGCTTACACTGCAGCATGTTTAAGTGTTTGCAGGATTAAGATCCACATCCTCTCTGGGCCATTAAATGTTTTGCAGTTGAAGAGCGGCTAGATTCCCCAAGGGGTTGTCTTTTATATATAGATGGAGAACATCCATGGCTTGCATCTGGGATTTATCATCTTGTTTGAGTGATCTGATCTCCTTAGTGTGTATGTGCGTGTACTTATGCACTCAGATATGTAGACACAGTAATAACAAGAATAAGCTTGCTTGAGGGGGAAAAAGTAAGCAAGGAAAGAAACTGCCAAAGAGTCCTTAAAATATTTCCTCCCATTTTGAGGAAATTTTAGAACATTTTACTTTCTGTCCAGCTCTATAAACTATTCCCTGCTTCCCTGTATTCTGTCTGCACAGCAAAGCTCAGACCATTTTCAAAATTCCAGACCATGTACTAGCATGTAGTGTACAAACTAGAAAACAAACCCACCAAATATTCCTTTACCTTTTATCTTCTCATCTTAAATTCCATCTGTACTTCTCTGTGCCTCCATTTAGTGTTAGTCTGAAGCAGTTAATTGTAACTTACATGTGTGTGTGTATGTTTATAAGTTCATTTAAAGAATATATGTGTGTATGTCTCTGTGTGTTTGTGTGTCTATGTAAATACATACACATGTACCTTTCACATATAAAGGATAACTAATGATACTGGTGGATATAAAAAGTTTATTGTTTTGTCCTATGGTTTAAACTGTAGATCTGCCTAAAGCATCTATGCACAATTTTTATTGCATGATGCCATGCAATTTTGTGTTCAGTGTAAGTCATGTTACAGGCACTAAATTTTAATATATATGGGGTGTTTTTCTGCATTCATGACCTATATCATCTGATACTATCAATTCTCTACAAAGATCTTTTAACTCCTCCATAAGAAAATGGATGTTTTTTCCTTTGTGTAGCCTTTATGAATCACAAAAAGGTTACATGGATAGCTCTGGAAGGTATTGTGCAGCCTTATCACAGAACAGAGGTAGCACCATAGAACCAGTTCAATCTTCCTCTCCTTGTTACTTGCAGTCCCACAGGTTGTCCACTCTGCAAAAGTTCCCAGGTCCTTGAGTTTGAAGGGGATAATGCTCAGTTAAATACCTCTGCAGAAACCAAAGTCTAAAAGACTTCCAAAATGATCATGTTAAGCAAAGGAGAGAAATAGGTCCTCCACTACTGTTTTAGTGTTTGGGCACTGTTAACTGCCTGTATTTCAATTTGTGCCCAGTACTTCTTGTCCTTTCTATGAGCATCATTGAAAAGACTAGTTCTTTGTTCTTTACTCCCAGTCTGTCAGGTATCTCTTCACATGGAGATTCCCGCCATCCCACCTTTCTCCAGATTGAACTGTCCCAGGTCTCTCATACTCTCCTCAAGTCAGATACACCAATCCTTTAATCATATTCCTGTCCTTTTTTTGACTGGACTGAATCCAGTATGTCCATGCCTCTGTTGCATCAGTGAGCAAAGAACTGGACCCAGTGCTCCAGATGGGTCTCACCAAGTGCTGAGTGGTGGAGAAGGATCACCTCCCTCATACTGGGAGGTGACTTTGGCTAATACATCCCATGGGCTGTTGACTTCCTCTGCCACAAGAGTACGTTGCTGGCTCATGTCCAGGATTTTTGTCCACCAGGACGCTCCATATCCTTTCTGGAAAGCTGCTTTTCAGCCATTTGGTCTCCACTCTGTACCCCCTAATGGGATTATTCTTCCTAGGGGCAAGACTTTTGCATTTCCCTTTGTTGAAAATGAGATTCCTATTTTCCCATTTTTTTTCCCCAGCCTATTGAGGTCCCTCTGAATGGCCACACAAGATCTGGATCCATCAAGAATTCTTCCCAATGGCAAAGTTTCTAACAGTGCGCTCTGTCCCATCATCCAGGTCATGAATGAAGGTATTCAACAGTGCTGACCCCAGTGTGGACCCTGTGGATACACCACCAATTAGTGGCTTCCAGCTGGACCTTGGGCCACTGATCACAACCCTTTGAGCCCAGCAGTCCAGATAATTTTAAGTCTTCTTCACTGTTGTTTATCTATCTCATACCTCATCATCTTGTCTCTGAGAAGGTAAAAGTAGACAGTGCTGAAAGCTTTGCTAAAGTTGAGGTATACAAAATCCACTGCTTTCCCTTTGTCCTCTGAACTAGTCATTTTACTGTGCAAAGCAACAAGGTTAGTCAGGCGTGATTTCCCCTTCATAAATACTTGCTGACTATGTCCAACCACCTTCTTGTCCTCACTGTGTTTGGAAATGGTTCCTGGGATGGTTGGCTTCTTCACCTTCCCAAGGTTTAAGATGAGACTGACCAGCCTGTAGTTTCTGGATCCTCCTTTCTGTACATCTTGAAGATAGTAAAGACATTTGATTCCTTCCCAACTTTGGGAACCTTTCCCAATGGCCATGACATTTGGAAGATAACTGAGACGTTGGCCAACTCCCTCAGCATGTCTGGCTGCTTTCCACACAGTCCCAAATTATTTATGTCCAGTTTATTTCAGTGTTCCCTAACCTAATCTTCTTTTTACTGAAGAGTGTTTATTCCAAATGATTCAACTGGTTTTACTCATTAGATTTTCAAAATTCAGCATCTTTAGTATTTTCTACAGTTTTTTCTGAACCTTTCAGTAGCTTGAGTAAAGCAGTATCAGTAATTGCAAAGCAATCTTACTGATGTTCTACAAAAATCTTCAGGTTTCTACAAAAATCTTCAAAATTTACCCAGTGGAATAAAAACATTAAACCTCTTGATCCAGAGACCTTTCTTTTCAGCTGTAATTTCACACTGGAGCTGTTCTCTGTACAGTAAATATTAAGAATGCTTTTCCAATCTGTGGAAATTTGTCTAAATAAAATTAAAATGCAGCTAATAAGATATTGCTAATCTAATAGGACACATTAGTGACTTAAAATGCTGAAAAACTTTGCTGTGTGTAAATGCAATAATCAAGCTTTATGTATGAGACCTGTCTCTTTCCATGGCAAAATACACATCTTTCAATGAACACAAGGAATCACTTATGGTTTACTGTGAACTTAATGTAAAAGTGTAAATTCATTTTAGTTTTAACAATGTGTATCAATCTGATTTTTCTTAAATATTGAAGAATAGCAATAACACTCCAGGCAGATCTTCATGAATGAAAATGATGTACTAGAATATACCTGAAAATGCTTGTTTTTAAATAAGCTGATCATAAATCTGTAGATAGGTTTTAGAGATTTTCACAAACATAGGCACAATGAATATATTGTTTTACCTTGTCATGAAGTTTTTGTAACTGTAACCCACGGGCTCTAAAGGAGACAAGGGATTAATAGATATAATCAAAACTATTTAGAAAAACATTTCTCTGCTGCTTGGGAACAGCATGTTTTGTCAGCAGTTCAGTACGAAGACGTGCTTTCTGACCTTGGCACTATGTTCACCTCACCCTCTGTAGCACATTTGGCACTGTGGATGTGATTGGAGATGTCCCACCCTACAACTGCAGGACTCAGAGGGCTGAAGTGTGTGTGTCTGTGTGTGGGGGGGTCGTGCATGCTCACTGTTATTTCAGTGTTAGTTGTAGAGGTAGTTTTCAGTAAAAAGAGTTCCATAAAAGCTTACTGAATAAACATTACAGCCATTAAAAAAACCTTAGCTGAGATAGCTGAAAGCCGCTGAGACTCATTTGCACTAGAACATAAAAACATCTGTTTATTCTTTAAAAGCTCTGCTATCACAGGTTTTTAAAGCATACATTCCAGAAAAACATAACAATACAATAAAACACAAAAAAACCCTGGGTATATGCCATTGCTCATAGCAGTACTTTAATGAAACAAAAGCTACATTTTGTCACTGGTAGTATAGGGTTTTCCTCCTTTTAAAATGTTTGTCTCTTGTCTTTATTTATGTGTAAAAAAATGTCGGAGATAAAAGAACCTTTCAGACAGGAAGGTTAGTTGTTTCTAGGAGTAGCTGCAAACAAAATGTCTCTAAGACAATTGTGTCATGTTTTCTCAAATAGACAGAGTGCTATAGGCTCAAATTCTACAAAAATGTAGGAGAAACCATGATAATTACAAACTTTCCAAATCATGTAAATCATGTATGGAGCTGCAGCAACATCCTGCCATGAAATATTTCTTCCTCCCTTCTATATAGTATCTCCTGGAGGATCCTCAGACTCTTTAAGAGCTACCACAAACCTGGAAAAGTATCGATGGGTTTCACACACACAACTTGGTATTTAGATTATTTCACTGTAAACAATTATGCAGTAAAGTATTACCCTCATTTAAAAATGGGATATCTGAAAGAATCTTGAAGACCAAAAATCACATAAAATAAAAATCTCACACAAAATATTAGATATGAGAAAAATGGTTTTTAATCTTATGACTCAGTTTAAAGACAAATTTTTAGAAGTTTCACAGACAAGACCTCTATTATTACATGTATAGGAATCATGCTAATTTTGTGTGACTTTCTAAACTAGACACAGGTGAAAGCAATGACTGGACATGGAAGTCACCCCATATAGTGATTTCCTTTTTCTAGGAAGCAAAAACATAATTACTCTAATTGAAACTGACTTTTATTAAAGTCTGAATACTTGGCAGATGTGAAAACAATTCCTTACATATTATAGCATTCTTTTACCTAGATGTCAGTATTTAACTAGTTGAGGACATTATTCTTAAAAAAAAAAAAAAAATCACATTCTCTGAGAACTTTTTACATGTCTCAAAAGCTCCTTCTAAAATAGGACTAAGTTGAAATGCGGGAAGCATGGGAATGTTGTAAGGATTTGGAGCACAAATAGCTATTTGTGAAGGCTGCAATTTAAAAATCAGTTTTAATGATGATCTTTACATAAGAATGGTGGCTTTGAAACTGGCTTGTTTTTCTTTACCAATTCAAAGGCTGAGTGTTGCTCCAGGGCAGGTGTTTTCAGATCATCTCTTCTTTTGGCCATGAGAGTACAAACAGACTAAATGGCAGTTTGCTTCCACCACTGATGAAAAACAGTGTGCTGATGAGGGCTTAACAAATGGGCAAACCTGGTTACTGAATGAAGCAATGTGATACTTTACAGTTTATCTTGCCATTTGGCTCTTATTACTCCAAAGGAAGTGCATCTCCTAGTCACTGCTTGTCTTTATGACAACACCAGCAGCAACTGAATGTACTGGGGACAAAATTTTGTTCAGCCACTGGTGTCCCTGTTAAAGGATTCTATATATTGTAGTGATTGTTGCGTCTATGTTTTATGGAGTCCCTTAAAAAAATAAAACTGTTCTACTGTTGTGCCGTTCATGGACGTGATAGACTTAATTTGAATTTTGCAGCAAATATAATCTTAGAAATATGAATGGGCAAGTTAAGTCCTTTATCTGTTATATGAGTCTAAGAATATCTTTTACCTATATATATAAGAAGAGACACAAGCACACAAACACATATATACAAGAAAAATCAAAGTTGTACTAAATACATCTTCACATTTCTTATACATGAAAAAAATGGCTTTGGAGTGAAACTGGAAATAGCTGAAGGGCTAGAAACAACTGTAAAGTTTTCTGTAGTCTCTACTCAGCCAAAACTTCTCTCTGATTTTAAATTCTGTGGTAAAATAAAATATCTTTATGGAAACCTGATTTGTACCTATGTTTGTAGATAGCTATATACTTCTCTGTCTTTGAAATATTTTGGTTTTATTCCTGACCTCAGCTTTGGATATACGTACTTTAATTCCACTCGGCCATCTTAAACATACATCTGTTGTCACATTCATTAGTAATGAATGCATATTCTCCAGTACATTTCTGTTTGAAAAACAGCCTAATTAATTTTTGCTGTATGTGATTCATGAAGATATACATAATGTACCATGTCTCCTTTGTTAGAACTGTTATTGCCTTTCATATCCAGAAATGTGTGGAAGGGGAAAAATCAGACCACAGGACATCACTGCATGCTCCTTTGTGGGTGGTGGGTGGGACGGCAGTAGGCTCAGAATTTTATTGGCCATAAAGCCAGATAAAATATTCTGAGGGAATGACATAAAAGTCCAGTGAGGTAGACATAACTATGCCATATTAATTCCAAGGCTCTCCAAAATATCAACATGGACAGGTCGGTAATTATGCTGTAATTAGGTCCCCAGCTGTGCCTGTTTTCAACTCATTCCTTTTCCTACCAGGAGGTCTCTGAATGCATGGCACAAGAAAAATCTAGTCCAAATTAGAGCAGGTTGGCAAAACTTCCAACAAAACAGTTTGCCCTGATGAAAAATACCTTCATTCCAGTGAAATTTCAGTGAAGCATTAATCTGGTTCTTTTTCTGTCAAGCTGCTTAGGAGACCAGGTCTCATAAGTCTGTGGTCCCCCAACTGTTTCATCATGACCTCTTCTGAGGATGAGACTCTTGAACAATAGAACAGTGAAGACAGAAGTACAGAACTCTTCTGTCTAAGTGTGGTGGGTTGGCTCCACCTGGCAGCTAAGTCCTTCCTTAGTAGGGTGGGAGAGACAATTAGAAGAACAGAAAGATTCTGTAAGGAAACTTGTGGGTAGAGATAAAGATAGGTTAATAGGAGAGGGGAAAAACAGGAAAAAAAGGAAGTTATGCAAAAGCAATCACTCACCACTAGCTGACTGATGCCCAGCCTTTGAGCAAAGTCTACTTTGGAAATACTGTCCCCAAGTTTTATTGCTGTACATGACATTATATGGACCCTCTGGTCAGTTGGTTTCAGCTGTCCCAGGTGTGTTCCCTCACAACCTCTTGCCAACCCCAGCCTACTGGCCTTTGATTGGGTAGCTGGAGGGAGAGCCTTGACACCACGCAGGTGCTGTTCAGCATCACCCAAGGCATTGATGTGATAACACCATCACTTGAGTCA